TCTGAGGGCCTCTCAGGTAAGGCAGAGACATCAGCATTATCCAGAGCACCCTGAAGCCAAAATAGAAGCAACAAGTTGGAATAGTCATAAGATTCATCACATTAAAAGGAGTGGAATTAAACCTGGCCAAAGAAATCTACCTGGGTGTGGCAATCTTGCTATCATGGTAGCGCGAGTTTTTGGGCATTCTTGTTATACTGGAGCCTGTGATGTTGGTAGAACTAAAGGCCCCTACAGAATTTTAGGGCACTGTCACTGGAGATATCAACAAGTCAGTACTTCATTTGTTGTTGTTTTTTTATTATTACTTTCATAATTCTTTGGAAATTGAAACTTGGTTCTGAAGGGCAATATGAGTTGATTTCTTAAATCTATCTATCACGTGATAGGAGGAAAGGAATGATTGTTGGGAATGACCAGGAGGGAGATCATTGTGTAATTACTGCGCACGTACGTATCACTTATATTACTATTGTTCTTTTTTTCTTAATTGTTTGAGTTAGAACATCAGATGCACATCTTAATTGAATTGGTTACAAATGGTTCAATTGCTGAGTTTGGTTTGAATTTGCATCTCACAGCGAAATTTGTGGTTTTCCCTCATTTGCCGTTTTTCATTTCTGCTTATACAACATATACTGGTGTTTATAGGTCATGGTATATAGTCATTCTTTTCTGGTCTTGTCGGGAGCTTTTGGTTGTATGTAGTGTATGTTCATATATTTTGTAAACATATGCAGTTAGCAAAAGCAGCTGCTCAGTTGCAAGTAACTACGCTGTGTATGAATGTGGGGCTTTGATGTTGTTAAAGTAGGATTTCGTTTTCAAAGAAAAACATTAGAACGCTATAGGATACCTAATGAACTGTCTACCAAATGATTGGTTATTTGAGAATAGTGTACATGAATGATAGATGGTACAGTGAAATTGTAAGCTCAATTTTGTTCACGTCTGTATTAGTTACTCAATCTCGCATGTATCTTGGTTGTTTTCTAAAATTTATTGCAGGTTCTGTTTTATAAAGATTACCTTTCTATCAGCTGCTTGGTCTGTTTTTCTTCCCATCTATCAAACATGTGTACCTATATGGGGGGCTTGATGGACCCCTACATGTAGATTAATAATAAAAATAAAGATCAAGGGAGGACGATATGGTCCTCACTCCTCACCCATGCATTGTTTAGAAAGCCAAACAGTAGAAATTAAAAGAAGGGCCTTTCTACCTCTATAGAGGCCAATGAAAGACAAGTTTTTATTGCTGTGTCCTTTCTCCTCAGTCACTCTTGCTGTTATTATTATTCCGGTTCTTGCATTTTTTGTCCTTGGTCAATAAAGGTATCCTACATACCATGCTCACTTTTTTGGTTCAGATGAACACTTGATAGGCGGACATGCTAACTGCTAAACAGCTTTTGATGAATGGTTTGGTTTTAAAACTATATGAAACAAGCAAGACATTTGAACTGAGCACAAAAAAGAATGTAATAGGCAGGTGGATAACATGTGCTTACCTATATGGGGAGCTTATCTAAAAGCCCTTCTAACAATGTTTGTGGTGACTGGTGAGTAATACTAATACCTTTACTTTCTTAGTCAAGAGACCCTACTAGTTGTTAGTTTTAAGGATTACTGCAAATTAAATCTTTTAAATAACATCAATGTGGGCCCTTTTTCATACTCTTTCTCCTAACATGGACTCTCTTGAGAACTCTGTACTTTTACAGTGCGATTGCCTCTTGGATTATAGCTACAATTGGTGTTGTCCAATGGGTGCTGATCACCGTCCCATTTAAAATTATTTGCACCAAGGTTCCTCTGATGGAAAATAAAAGTTACAATTCAAGTGCTATGGATGTATTCGATGGAGTGACATACTTTTATATTTAACATTTGCAAGTTATACATCCAGAGTGACGTACTTTTCTATTTAACATTGCAAGCTACACCAGATGTATACAATTCTGTTAAATTATGACTGGATAGTCTCTGCTACCAGCTACAAATAACTTTCAGAAATTGAGCAATTGCCTAATGCATCTAATACCATTATTAGCACAGAGATTTGTTCTTTGTGATTTGTGCACTTGCATTCGATCTTCCCCTCTTTTGGTGTC